AACTAGTACCAGTCCTCTCCCCCTTCCTCCAGAGTTAAATACAAATAAATGTTATTATTTTAGACGTAAAAAAGACCAGATGTTATGATACATTTTTAGACTCAAACGAATTTCTGATACTAACCTAAAAAGTTAGTTCAAGCCTCGGTTGGTTAGTTGTGCGATGGATGAGAGAATAAACATAGATGAATGAATGGAATTAACTTACAAACTTTCTAAAATATTAATCACTATTTCACTGTTGTTTTGCCTTCTCTGATTCCTCCTTTCTTTAAAAATTTGCAAGAATTCATTTCCCTTAAAGCACTTAGTCTCCTAAATTGTTGTACAAAACATGTAACGTTTTAATTACACCTATCTATCACTAAACATACACATTGTAATATTCCCCCTTACAAGTAAGCTTACCTGAAATAAAATTCTCTGTCTACCAGTTTTAATTCTTGTACAAGGTTATAATAATCGCCTCGTGTCTTCCTTCTCGTAAAAATGTCTCTTATCCAGACCTTTCTCGGTTTTCTTTGCGTTTGTCTTTGCACAAGCAATCTTCTTCGATTTCTACGGCTTAACAGTAGCAACAATCCAATTTCGACTTCTTTATCCGCCATCTTTGATTGCTGAGAGGTGAACTGCGCCTGCGCAATGGCCATCCTTATGGTTATGCTTATGTAACCCCGGTTCACACATATTTTTCTTATGCTTATGTTTATGCTTATGTTTATGCTTATGCTTATGCTTATGCTTATGTCAAAGTGTGAACCAGCCCTGATAGAACCGCNATTGTGGAAACTTACGTTTAATATTGCTGAGATAAAACATAGTTTTTAACACTTTTGGAATTGTGGAAACGTTTGATATTGCTGAGATAGAACATAGTTTCTAACACTTTTGGCACGTTAGCCAGGGTTACACTAAGATACCTAATTCTAGATCGGACAGCTTTTTACAACAATTTCTACCGGAAAGAAATGGAGAAAGAGACCTTAGAACCGTTATGATCAACAGTATTACCTGAATGACAATTTTAGATATTCGAATGTTGCGCATGCGCGTTATGATTAGTCACGTGGACATTGCAAGAGTGAACCGGTGGTGTATATCTAGTTGGAATCTAGGACCATGCATCCTATAAATTATAACAAAGAGCAACAGCTTTAGAGCATACTTAGCTTACTTGGGAATGAAAATTCAAAAACACGGGCATATCCGTTCTTACTGGAAATTTTAACCGCGGACTTCAAGCGTCTCCATCATCCAAAATTCCGACTCAGGGCATGCGTAGATTTTTAATAGCGGCTGTTTTTAATGTTTGTGATTCCAAGTCGCTTGAATTGCTTGCTATCGATTAACCCGGTCCCATTAGTGGACAGATAAAAGTAATTTGCTTCGAATGGATGCAATAAACTTTGAACTGTCTAGTTAAAATGCTATTAAGCAGATCAAATTTTTCTCATGAAAGATTTAAAGAAAATAACCGAGACAAATTATACTCTCATTGTTTTTGTTAAAACTGATCGATAGAGGCATCAATTTTTTTTGTTTTGTTTAAGACTGCATCATCAATTAAGAAATATATATTTTACTTAAAAAAAGAGGTGTGAATTAATTATAGGTAGCTGGTATGGATTGCCACAAACAAAGAGACACTGATGGTACGATATAAATTTTGATGTCCTTTGTTTTCTAACGTGGCTTCGAGATGTTTTGGGGGAAAAACCAAATGTGAATTTTAACCAGAAAGCCTTGAAGTCATTTTAGAATTTGGATACATCGAACATGGGCTAAGGTTGTTTATGTTTAAAACATACTCGATATAAAGATTTCAAAAAGATAGAAATAAAACATTCTAATTTGTTATCATAATAAATTGTCTTAATACGATAAAATATATGCTACACGACATGTATGAAAGCTACATTTCAACCCATTTAGTACATAAGCCACCCCTAGAAAGTTTTCATTAAAATTATACAGTAAAGACATTTTTAGCTGAGGTTTATTGCAAGAAAACATCGATAAACCCCTTGGGAAACTTACATCGCGAGTATTACTGAGTGCTTTTTTATTTTGATTTGACCTGTGACCTGTGACCTGTGACCTGTGACTGTTAGGGTTAAACGGGAAGTTCGTGACGCGCGACATGTGACGTAGAGTTCTTACATCCGGGACAGTTTACACAAGGAGAGAACGTTCAAAAACGTAGTGAAAATGGAGGTAGGAGTTTTGTTCAGCGACAAATACAATGCTTGAAGTGCAGCGTGTTTATTTTGGTTTTATTATCCGTGGGTAACATGACCTGTTACCC